TATACACTTAATAGTCCTTAATAAAGCCAACGAGAACTAAATAAACACTTAATAGTCCTTAATAAAGCCAATGAGAACTAAATAAACACTTAATAGTCCTTAATAAAGTCAACGTGAACTAAATATACACTTAATAGTCCTTAATAAAGTCAACGAGAACTAAATAAACACTTAATAGTCCTTAATAAAGTCAACGTGAACTAAATATACACTTAATAGTCCTTAATAAAGCCAACGAGAACTAAATAAACACTTAATAGTCCTTAATAAAGCCAATGAGAACTAAATAAACACTTAATAGTCCTTAATAAAGCCAACGAGAACTAAATAAACACTTAATAGTCCTTAATAAAGTCAACGTGAACTAAATATACACTTAATAGTCCTTAATAAAGCCAATGAGAACTAAATAAACACTTAATAGTCCTTAATAAAGTCAACGTGAACTAAATATACACTTAATAGTCCTTAATAAAGCCAACTAGAACTAAATAAACACTTAATAGTCCTTAATAAAGCCAATGAGAACTAAATATACACTTAATAGTCCTTAATAAAGTCAACGTGAACTAAATATACACTTAATAGTCCTTAATAAAGCCAATGAGAACTAAATATACACTTAATAGTCCTTAATAAAGTCAACGTGAACTAAATATACACTTAATAGTCCTTAATAAAGCCAACGAGAACTAAATAAACACTTAATAGTCCTTAATAAAGTCAACGTGAACTAAATATACACTTAATAGTCCTTAATAAAGCCAACGAGAACTAAATATACACTTAATATTCCTTGATAAAGCCAACGTGAACTAAATATACACTTAATAGTCCTTAATAAAGCCAACGTGAACTAAATATATACGCAATAGTCCTTAATGAAGTCAATGATAACTAAAAATTTACCTAATAGTCCTTAATAAAGTCAACGTGAACTAAATAAACACTTAATAGTCCTTAATAAAGTCAACGAGAACTAAATATACACTTAATAGTCCTTAATAAAGTCAACGTGAACTAAATATACACTTAATAGTCCTTAATAAAGCCAACGAGAACTAAATAAACACTTAATAGTCCTTAATAAAGTCAACGTGAACTAAATATACACTTAATAGTCCTTAATAAAGCCAACGAGAACTAAATAAACACTTAATAGTCCTTAATAAAGTCAACGTGAACTAAATATACACTTAATAGTCCTTAATAAAGCCAATGAGAACTAAATATACACTTAATAGTCCTTAATAAAGTCAACGTGAACTAAATATACACTTAATAGTCCTTAATAAAGCCAATGAGAACTAAATATACACTTAATAGTCCTTAATAAAGTCAACGTGAACTAAATATACACTTAATAGTCCTTAATAAAGCCAACGAGAACTAAATAAACACTTAATAGTCCTTAATAAAGTCAACGTGAACTAAATATACACTTAATAGTCCTTAATAAAGCCAACGTGAACTAAATAAACACTTAATAGTCCTTAATAAAGTCAACGTGAACTAAATATACACTTAATAGTCCTTAATAAAGTCAACGTGAACTAAATATACACTTAATAGTCCTTAATAAAGCCAACGTGAACTAA